AAAATCAAAAAGGACTTCTACAAATAGTGGAAACATGGACAAATTGCTCAGGAGTACAAAAAATTAGCACAAGAACATAGGGACAAAATCAGAAAGGCTAAGGCACAAAATGAGTTACACCCAGCAGTGGACATTAAAGGCAATGACAAAACTTTTTTAATACACTAAAAGCAAGAGAAAGATGAAGTAAAGTATGGGTCCTTTCCTTATCAGGGAAGAAGAGCTAACAACTGATTACATCAAGAAGGCTGAGATGTTTAGTGCCTGTTTTACTTCAGTCTCCACTAAAAAAAGTTATGGTGACCAGATACTCAACACAATTAATATAAATAACAAGGGAGAAGGAACAAAAGCCAAAATAGGGAAAGAACGAGTTAAAGAATATTTAGATAAGTTAGATGTATTCACGTTGGCACGGCCTGATGAAATTCAACCCAGGGTACTTAAGGAACTAGCTGAAGTGATCTCAAAACTGTTATCAATTATCTTCAAGAATTACTGGAGGATGGGTGAAGTTCCAGAGGACTGGAGATGGGCAAACATAGTACCTATCTTTAAAAAGAGGAAAAGAAGAACGAGGGAATTATAGGCCAGTAAGCCTAACATTGATACCTGGAAAGATACTGGAGCAAATTATTAAACAATACATTTGTAAGCACCTAGAGGATAATAGGGTTATACAGAATAGCCAGAATGGATGTGTCATGTCAAGAACAAATTGTGCCAAACCAATCTTATTTCCTTCTTTGACAGAGTTAATGATCTAGTAGATGGGGGAGGGGAGGAGTGGTAGACTTGATATATCTTGCTTTTAGTAAGGCTTTGGACACAGGCCCACATGACATTCTCATGAGCAAACTAGGGAAATGTGGTCTAGTTGAAATTACTATAAGGTGGATGCACATCTGGTTGAAAGACCATACTCAAAGAGTAGTTATCAATGGTTTGCTGTCAAACTGGGAAGGCATATCTAGTGGAGTCTCGCAAGGATCAGTCTTGGGTCTGATACCAGTCAATATTTTCATTAATGACTTGAATAATGGAGTAGAGGGTATGCTTATAATATTTGCTGATGACACCAAGCTGGGAGGGATTGCAAGGACTTTGGAGGACAGCATTACAATTCAAAATAACCTTCACAAATTAGAGAATTGGTCTGAATTCAATGAGATAAAATGTAATAGAGAACATTCTACACTTTTGAAGGAAAAAGCAAAAGCAGAATTACAAAATGGGGAATAACTGGCTAGGTGGGAGTACTGCTGAAAAAGATCTGGGGGATAAAGTGGTTCACAAATTGAATAGGAATCAACAATGTGATGCAATTGCGAAAAAAGGTTAATATTCTGCAGTGTTGTGACCCAGGAACCTTTTGGCACCAACTGGTAGAGGGTGCAGGGGGCATATGGAATTTTACAGGGATGCTGTGGGTTTTATATATGCATAATAATTTGCTAAAGGGTGGCATGTGAGGTTTCTACCATAAGCCAATAGCCCAACGTAGCTATGAATAGTATTTAAGAAGTTATATATCTATACCAAAAATTAAGTTCTTACAGCAAGAAACCAGGAGGTGACATGTCTTGGACAGATTCCTTTCTTCAGGGGGCTTCTCTTCCTGTTTGGTCATTGTGTATTATGTGTCCCAACATATGACTATTTGCATTCTGAATCAGATGCTTATTAAGGATAGAGCTACACTGTTTCTTTCAGCTGTGTGTAGAGCACGTATACAGGTATCGCCTCACCCCCTCCCCCCCCCCCCAGCACGAGTATAAATAGCAGCATATAGGACAAGGCATAGCTTACATGAGAAAAGACACTGAACTGAAGGGTGTGGGTATATACCAGAGTACATACCCTACATGGCTCTTTATTTGCCCAAGCCGTGCCTTCCTGCCTACCCTGCTATTTTTAGCAGCACAATGTTCTGCTGCCTCCCTGCTGCTGGAGCCTTTCCTGCCACAGGGAAAGACTTTGGCAGAGGCAAAAGGTTCCGTGGCTACACTTACCCTACAGGCCAGTGATAGTGTAGACACAGCCTAAGAGATTGCAAAATCTACACAAAAGGAGTACATGTGAAAAAACAACCAGCAGGGGGGTGTCCTACTTATCAATGATAATGGATTGTTTGGTTATATCTAGGTCTTTCACTAAGGAGGCAAACTGACAGCATGACTTCTCTCATGAATGGAAGATCACAGCCAAACCTGGCTGTAAAATGCTGGATGGACTTTGGGTGAGCATTGCTCTGTAAGACATGAAAATATCTAAGTAAGTAAGTCTAGGTTCTAGAATGCATGTTATAATTTTATGTTATATGTAACCATTTGTTTTCAATACTTCTACTGGCTACCACTTGAATCTCTATATTTTGCTAAATAAGCTTTTACTTGTTTTTACTACAAATGTATCTAAGAAAAGTGTGTTAAATAGAACAGTGATCTGAGGTGTAACTGGTAAGCTGGGGTGTACTGTTCTTTGCACTTTTGAGGGCTGAGGCTGGGGCCGGGGCCGTAGTTGGGTATGGAACTGCGGCCGGGCACCAGGGGGCAAAGCTGGAGCCACAGCTGGGGGCGGGAGCAGAGCTGTGGCTAGGAGCTGGGGCCGCAGCTGGACTGAAGCAGAGCGGGGCTGGGTGGTGCTCCCTCCACAGTCCCCATGGAGGCTAGCCCAGGCCCTGCCACACCCCCACAAACGTTCCTCCCACTGGCCTACTGCTGACAAGTAGAGGGGCAGCAGGGCCTATGTAGGCCTAGTATTGAGTGCTCATTTTGTCCATGGAGTTGGGGAGTTGACCACCGGCAGGCAACCCCCTCCCTAGGCTTCAAAGCCAAATCTACAACTTCAAAGCACCACCTACAAAGCTATTTTCAGAGGGCTAGCACAAGCCCTACCAGAAGCAAGTCTGTCGTCACAGACTGTGTAGATATACACAGTGCTTTCTCTTTTTTTCCAGGTCAAACTTTAATCCCTCCTGACCCCTCAGCTCTCTCTGGCTGTTGGAAGGAAGCAACAGTATTCTCTCCCCCAGTCACTTTCCTAATGTGAGTTGTTTACGTCTTCAATGTTCACTCTTGGCTGTATGAATAATATCTGAGAATGTCTCTAAATGTAATTATGCTCATGTGCAATTCAAGCCTATGACCTAACTTAAAAATGAAATGGAACTACATACTGTTCCAGCATCACAAGAATCCGAGGAGAGAAAAGCCAGCTGCTAAGAGACATCACAGTTTAACCTAGACTTGGAGAGAAATATATAGCTTTCTTCTCCAAATATGATATAGCTTTGCTTAAGACAAATGAGTGATCACAGAAATATAGTGGGTAATGAGGAGATCAGTATTAAAAGGTGCTGATGTCATTAGTCCAAAAACATCACCTTACTAAGTAGCTAAAAAAGGAAACAGTAAGGGAATAAGGGAGACTGGCACGGTTAAACAGGCAGTTTACACACTTATGCTCATACTTTTGCATGTTTGGGTTTCTTTTAAGTTTAACGCTAACACAGTATTTCTTTGCTTTTTAACGTTGTTGCTAACCACTATTCTAAGAACTTTTACCCTTAAGTTACTGATATGTAATCTGAATTTTAGTTTCATCTTCTAGGTGATCTGCAAAGAACTTTTGAAAAACTGGAATTCTGCCCTTTTTTGTTTATGATGTATAAAAGATTTTTAAAAATTATGTCAAGTTTGGTATGCCCTGTTTTTTCTAGAGGACATCCAGGTGATCTTAGGAATATTTATTGTGAACTCCAACAATTTAGATGAAGAGATTTGAGTGCTGAATCTTTAACAAAATTTCATTTATTTAAATATTTGTCAGTCACTGGTAGTAAATAGGGGCCAACAGAAATATGAAAACAGAATTTTGTACAGTTGGACAAATAAAGATTTCCCTTCAACTGCTCAATTTTCATTCTTGGGATGTCATTATTTCACTCTAGCAGATCTTGGGAGACGCACAAGAAGAAAAAGAATGGCCCTCAATCTCTTCTGCTACTCCTCTCTACCTATAAGAGGTGCTCAGGAGCAAACACTCATAAGGAAGTTGAGAAAGCAGGAACCCAGCAAAGCTTCCTTTTTTCTACACTCTGTGCAGGAGATTTGGAGCGTAAACAACCTCTTCCCTTAGCTGTCACCTGCTTCCCAACTTGGTGCCTGGGGCTGCCTGCAAGCCATAGTTACTGCAGCAGGTTCTGATCTTGCTATTTAAAAAATTATAAACTAAAATTTGATCACATGCAGCAGATGCTAATTAGATGACTTCAGTGAATTAAATTTCCTTTACTCTTTTTGGGGGGGGGCTACAGAGTGACAAAACAATTTGAAGACTTCCTGAACACACCATTATGTCAGATCAGGAATCCTTTTCCCTAATTTATTTTAAATTTGGCCAAAAAAATTTTCCCTAGGCCCCAGACTATCAATTGTGAAGATTTGGGGGGAGGGGCGGCGGACCTCATGAAAATTCAACTACATTGTTATTAATGGAGTATCCAGCCACAGTGCCATACTTTTAAAGAGCTGGTATCATTTTCACCCCAATATGCTTTTAGATTAGGAAGGGCTTTAAAAAAAAAAAAAAAAAGACACTGGTGTTTTACTGTAAAAGCAGAAGTGCATTTTGGGATCAAATGCATTTTCTCCAATACCTGCTTTCATTTTCTGATTGCAAGTAGCAGATGAATTTTGTTTCATTTGTTGATGCTCGGGACTTGCAATTAGGTTAGTTCAATTGCCTTCTATCTTCTGCTAATGATATCATCAGCATGTGACCACCACCCACAGACTGCAAGGTGGAATCAGAGGGAGGAGGAACAGCAGCAAGTTTGATCACAAAATAATAAATTAACTACCACCACAACTGGGGTTTATAAACAAAGCTCTTAATTTAAAAATATGTTTTGAAGAATTAAATGACTCTAAATACCTTAACATGACAGCCATGGTTTGAATGTGTAAACCAAAATAAACATCTTAAGAATACTTCACCTTTTCCAATTCTCTTGGTATTCGCATACATGTGTATACTCTCTCTCGCCGTTCTGTGTATTTTGCTTCATTATGTTCAAGGAAGTAACCTCTTGTTAGTTCAGCACTGATGAACCTCAGCAATGAAAGGTCTGCACAGAGGAAAACATATAAAAATAAGTAAAACCTGTACAGAAGACATATCAAACATTAACTCCTAGTGTGGATACAGTTTATTCAGGCAACTCTGATTTTATCTGCATGGCTTATTCCAGCCCCTGAGTAAAATAAGCTATATTTGCAAAGTGCAGTTTTGCTGGTATAACTGCATCTACACTAGATACTTTTGGCGGCACTGCTAGGTCAGTGAGAGATCACACCTCATCACACCCTTGACAGGCACAGCTATGATAGCAAAAGCTTGTAGTGTAGACCTGGCCTTAGTCTAAGAAATTTCTAAAACAAGTGTAGTGTTATTGAAAGCTTTCAAATATTTAATATTTTCCTTCTCAGAGACACTGACAGTTTGTTCTTCATGCTTTATTAAAATCTTGGCTGATACCCATATTAAAATGTTCATAAATACATGACCAATTAATTCAATGCACAAAAATTATCACCACAAATCAGACATACTTGCGACCATTTGAAGAAACCCAGACCTCTCAATGGCACATAGATCTGATATAGCAATGATAAGAGCAGTTTTTGTTTTTTTTAAATGTGGTACAAACATTCACAGTAACTTCTGTTTTGATGGCATGTAGTAGTACTCAACACTTTTTGGAAGCATTTCCTCTTCTGATTATGTGAATTCATAGATTCCAAGGCCAGATGGGACCATTGTGATCATCTACCCAGACTTCCTGAATAACACAGGGCATAAAACTTCCCTATAGACTTAGGCTGGTCTACATTACAAAGTTAGGCTGACCTAAGTTGCTTTGCATCGACCTATTTGTGCACGTCTATGCTCCAATTTGTCTTTGGCCAACGTAAGTGCCCTATTGCAGCAACACACTACAATCACTTCCCTGAACGACAGAGACAACTGAAATTGACGCAATGCGAGTGTATACACTGAATAACCTGTGTCACCTCAAACAGTCCTCCAGCAGTTGTCCCACAATGCCCCATTCCCTGCAGCAGTGACCACTCTAGTCACAATTTTATACTCCACTGCCGGGGTTACAGAGACCAGAAGCCACCATCCCCTTTAAAATTCCCTGCATGTTTTTGAAGTGACTTCCTAATTGCCCACGTTGGCAAGCACACCTACCAGTTTGCCCTCCTTGTGTGCAACGGCCCAAACAACCATGCCAGCTCCATGTGCTAGAAGTGCTTCTGCCTGGACTAGACAGGAAGTATTAGATCTCCTGGGCCTGCAGGGACAAGAGACTGTGCAACAACAGCTAAGGACCAGCCATACAAACACAGACCTCTAAGATCATATTGCACGAGGGATGCAGCAAGGGGTATGACAGGGGACAGCAGCACTGCCATATTAAAGTGAAGGGACTTTGCCAGGGGGCGCAATAATAGATCTGATGCTACACCGCAGACCAGCAGCTTCTACAAGGAACTGTATGTCTCATTTGGCAGAGATCCTACCAGCACCCTAAAGACCGTTGTGGATACCTCAGAGGAGCTTGAGACTGAGACCATTGCCATGAACAATGAGGAGGAGGAGGAGGAAGAAGATGCAGCAGAGGACTTGAGCCATGCCACGAGCCAGGCCCTGTTTGAGACTCTGCCACAGTATAGCCAGTCCCATCAGGTGAGCATGGATGAGCATGCATTTTTCCTTACAAAGTTTAAATTTAAAGATGTTGCTAGTTATCACAAGAAAGGTACAGACTTTTCATTGTTTTATTCATACAAGAAGAGGCAGAGATACCAAAGCAGAGGTAGAGTTGGCATCTGTTTTTCATTCCCCTGTTGGATTGCGGGGGGTGGGGGCTGGAGATGAGAAGGGGGCTGGAGATGAGAAGGAAGCTGCGCAGGACTCCGACTATGTGTCTATGTATGTCCTTTTTAGTCTCCTGAGAGATCCTGGTGAAAGTTTCATGGAGGTACTCTGCAATCCTCTCCTGAAGTTTTCTAGGGACGGCTGCTTTATTTCCTCTACCACAGTAGAACGCTTTCCCATGCCGCTCTGTGATGAGTTAGACTGTCACCACTGTAGTAAATGGGCTAGTGGCATATGGGCCAGCGCGGCTTCAGGACACCAGTAGCAGCTGTGTTCTCTATGCCATTGTGACCCTTAGGAGTGAGATATCAGCTAAAATCACCACTACCTATGGAAAACAGTGTTAATATTCAGTGCCATTACCCCATGCTCATATGCATGGAATAGGGACTGAAATTTTATAGCTTCATGCAACAGAAAATTCTCCCACGGTGGGCCATATCCACCATGGCTGAGGCTGGAGAGCCGTGCTGTACTGAGGTGGTCCAAAGCTGAAACGTCAATAAGCATTTCCTATCTGAAGCATTTATGAGACTATGGAAAGGGAGTTTTGAAACTAATCTTTCTCTTTTCTTTCTGACTCTAAATCCAGTGGTACATCTATCTGTTTTTATCAGCAGCTTCTGGTATGGCAGCCTTAAGGGTGCCCTCTCCATGCCTGCAGAACATCTGACCCTGATGAGGAGAGAGAAGAGGACTAGAGAGGATACGGTCTGTGGGATCCTGCAAGTCAGTGATGCATCGGACCATGAACAAAGGGCTTGGAGGCCCAATATGGCTGACAGCATGGAGAAAGGCAGAGAGGATAGGTGAAAGGCTCAGAGTTCCAGAAGGAAAGGAGAAGGAAATGCAACAGGAAATAATGTGTCTTCTCAAGCAACAAACCCAATGCTGTAGACCCTGGTTGACCTATAGGTCCCAAAATCCCAGACTTTCCACCCACTGCAAATATTTCAGATCTCCATGGTTACTGCTATACCCTGCAACATACTTCGTACATCGTATCACAGGTCACATCCTTACCCTACCACTCCATGCCAGGGACACCAAGGAAAACCACAGCTCTACCTACCCTGACATGAAAAAAACAGCTTTTGTACTTGTAGCCGACGACTAAATCCTAATTTTAAAGTTTCACTCTGTTAATTTAAATAAAAAAAATTATATTTAAAATAAATTGTATTATATTGCCTTTTTTTTTGCATACTGTTTTTCCAATTCAATAAAGTTCTGCTTTTGGAGAATGAGGTTGTCTTTATTAGTTCACAACTAATATTTCAGAATGCACAACAGTACCCAAAGCAAAGAGCACTTGTAAATGCACAACAAGCACCACATAATTCTTGGTTCAGGAAAATACCCAGTCATATTTATAAATGTAAAGCAAGCACTATGCGATTTTTAGCAGCACTCAAATCTCCAGGCCCAGAAAACACTACTGTAGATGACCGTTAGAATGCTCTTTCAAAGTCTCCCTCACCTGTATAGCTCCACATTGAGCTCTTGTAATGGCCCTTGCATCTGACTGTTCAAATTCAACAGACAGCCGCTCTATCTCTGCCCTCAACTTGGCAACAGCTTTTCTCCCTTTGCCTCACAAATATTATGCAGGCAAGTGCACGGATATGAAAGATTTTGAGCTGCTCTTTCTGTTTCCTAAGCACAGCTCTGAAAACACTGACTTGCCACCATTAACTGAAAAATAAGAGAAGAACTAAAATAAAATTAACTAGGTTGGTAAGAAATAGGCTGGCAACAGCAGGCCTTAGCATTAGGATGCATAAATTAACAATTGGATACAGATTAAAAGGGATGAGGTAATTGTTTACAGTTTAATAGTTTTGGTAAATTGGTGTGAGTAAAATGTTGGCACACAGCCAAGAAGAGTGAAATAGCAGTTTTTGGGTTCCCCTATGGCTAGCATGTTGGCAGGCAGACAAATGAGACTTTGGCCAAGTAAAGGTCACTCCAACACTGCAGGGAGAGGTCAGTCAGGCATACTCCTCCAAAACTAGGTGAGGGTCACCAGACCATAAAAGTAAGCAGACCATAACACTAAGACTTATTATGTAACAGCTTTGATGGACAGTTAGATTTAGCAGTTGTGATTGGACTAAGTGCAGACCAATCAGAAAGGGTCTACATTTGATTGGAGGATAAGGAAGGAGTGAAAGAATAACCAATCAGAGCAGGCCAAAATATGAATATAAGGCAGACAGTCAGCAGGCAAAAGTGTGTGGTTGTCAGTCAGTCGAATGGTCAGGAGCAGCGAGAAGCAGCAGCAGCACTACTGGGACAGAGCAGAAGGACCTTGACAGAGCAGAAGAAGAGACGCCTACAGAGAATAAGCATGCTAGCTATAGTGTAAATGTAGAATAAAAATAGGATTAATAAATATGTGTGTATGTATGTTTGGGTTAATAAAGATGTGTGTTTGTGTTATGAACGTTACATTGTTCTAGATGTATAAAGTTTAAGGGCTTGTCTACACTATCGCTTAAGTTGATATAACTTACGCTGCTCAGGGGTGTGAAAAACACAGTCCCCCGAGCAACGCAAGTTACATCGACTTAAAACGCTGTCCAGACTGCGCTATGTCAGCAGGAGATGCACTCCCGCCGACATAGCTTCTGCCTCTCACTGAGGTGGAGTAATTATGCCGACGAGAGAGTGCTCTCCCGTCGGCACAGTGCATCTACACCAGGCACTACAGCAGTGAAGCTGATGTAGCACGGTAGTGTAGACTGGCCTTAGATACAAGATTGCTGTCAGTGACTGCAGGTGACTGATCACTACATGCATAATACAGTCACTTAGTATTGCTTTAACTATATGTTTATGGTTCAGGTACTTTTAACCTAACCCTAAGATTGTGCTAATGGATTTATGTTTTGATTTATGTTTAGATTAATTGGATCAGGGAAAATTGGTAAAATAAAGAAAATACTTTGTTTTGGAAAGTGTACTGCCTGGATGTCAATTCTTTGAGTGGAAGACTGTATCAGTGTCCTCCCACAGGTAAACAGATCTAGTCTGTTCTGAGGAGTTTCCTGAAGGGTATAGGGAGATTCTTGGTAAACCTTGGCAATTTCACTAGGGCAGCTCCCCTCCTTTCACCTTGCAGGAACAGATTAATAAATCAGCATCTGGGGAACCTGAAAATAACAAATAGAAGGGCTACTC